TGTGTCTATGTGCATGTGTGTGTCTATGTGCATGTAGGCTAACAGACATTCTGGGCATTGAGGTGCAGCCCACTCTTCTGTTTGATGCAGGTCCCAATAACTAACTGCCGTCACTCACTGTGTGTGCAGCAGGTCCTGCATCGAGCACTCCAGTAACCCTCCCTCCCTCAGCGTGTCCTCACAGCCTTCCAATGAAACAGGTCTGACTCTCACCTTCATCTTGCATATGAGGAAACTGCTGAACACCCAACGGTTATCAGCGGCCCTGCCAAACCAAAGCAGGCAGACTGCACCCAGCTCTCTAGTTTTCAGCGGGCTCACTGTGGTCTCCCCTCAGACAAGGGATTGGTAAACTGTGTCTATAAAAAGCCAGCTAGTGCTGGGGAGAAGGGAGTGTGGCCTGAACTCTCAGCTCTGGAGAGGCTGAAGCAGGATGGGGTTGCTGCAATTTCAAGGCCAGCCTGAGCCACATAGACTTTGACTCAAGAAACAAACAAAAGGCCAGATGGTGTTTCTTGCTTTGCAGGTCCCATGTAATGTCTGTCTATTTTGACAACTCTTTAAAAAGCATGTACTGATTATTGACTCACAGATAGGTCATCCAAATTTGGAGCTGTAATCTCAGCTCATGTAAGACACTCCTTTCCAGTACAGCGGTGCTGAGTGGGGACTGGGTCTTCACCTCCTAAACCAGACCTCCATTAGCTAACCATTAACTCCATTTCTTGGGTATCTGTGTGTAGCTGGAGGTTTTCCTGTGTCCCACCTGGTCTGCAGCTGCTCAGATCCAAGTAAACATACAGAGACTTATATTAATTTAAAATGCTTGGCCATTAGCTCAGGCTAACTACTGACTAGTTCTTATACTTAAACTCAGCCAATTTCTGTTCATCTATATGTCACCACGTGTTCCATGGCTTTACCTGTGTGCCATTACATGCTGCTCCCTGGATGGCCGGCTGGCGTCTCCTCACTCACACTTCCTCTTCCCAGAATTCTCCTTGTCTGCTTATCCCACCTATACTTTCTGCCTGGCTACTGGCCAATCAGCATTTTATTAAACCAGTGTACAAAAACATTATCCTACAGCATCTGTGTAGATATACATAAGCACATGTGTTTCTCCTCTCTCTCTCTCTCTCTCTCTCTCTCTCTCTCTCTCTCTCTCTCTCTCTCTCTCTCTCTCTCTTTTTTTGTGTGAGCACTAGTTAGTCCTGGCTAACCTCAAACTGCCTCTGCCTCTAGAGTGCTGGAATTAAAGGCATACACTGCCATACTCAGTGTCATATACTTTTAT